CTGATAAAGTAATACTTGTTCAATATTACCGTTATAATTATTTGTTATTAAAGCCACTTTTTCTTGTTATTTTTAGTGAAATACTGTAAGAATTGTACATCAAGGACAATTTTTGGTTGGTTAATGTATCGGATAATGATTGACTTGTTCATAAATTTTGAATCTTCTTTTTCACACTCATAGCACACTTATTGATTTGATGATTATAATTAGAATATTTGAGATATTCTTTAATAAGATATCGAGTGTGTCTGATGTAGATTTAATCATATTCAGATATTTTGTTTGTTTGTTTTGATGACAAAACATCGATTTGCATCAGGTTCAAGTTGAGAATCTGTGTTATTGCTTGTAGGTAGTGGTTAGGTTTATTTGTTTGTTGATTAATTATATCTTATTTTTACTGGAATTTCTTTAAAATTTGACTTTGAAACGATGAACATGAGAAATCCTCCACATCTATGTATGTTATATATAGAAAGAAAGAGACAATATCGAGAGTTTGAAGAGACATATTCATAGTCCTTCAATACGATAATAGAAGGAGGAAATAAAGTTTACTAATTTCTTGCTAAAAATAAAATCGTTTTAAAGAACATTTTTATATGTCTACAAATAATTCGATTAATTTGAAGTAGAAGTGTTGGAATTGAACTTTTATTCTATATTTTTATCAATTCTGAACAGTTCACTTGAAAAAAAAAGAAAAGAATAAATACAAAATGGTTTACAAATGTGTGTCGAATCTGTTAGAAGACACAGGTAAACAAATTTCGTTTCTTTTCTGTCAAATATCAAAGTTAAAGCTACCTTTTGTCTCGTGCGGTTTGTCAACGTATTTGTAGAAAAAACAAAAAATAAAAATTAAAGAAATGAAGAAGAAACCTTTCTTTAGATATACGATAAAGAATGAATACTCAATTGTCTTTTTAAAAGGCAAATAGAAGCAAAACGAGATCCATTAGACGATTCTCGTTTGTTGAAGAGGAAACAACATTGTTATTATGACTTAACTAATCGTGTTGAGTACACGTAGATAATGAAAAAAGAATGACGGTCACGTATTCCGTCAAGAAAAAGAAAAAGTATTGTTGATGATTCAAATCTATTACAAAATACTGTTCTAAACGAAAAAAAACTGTCACTGTCTGTCTCATACAATTATTGATAACATATAAATTTTTTAAAGTCTTTTATTCAAGACAAAGTGGATGAATCGTTATTATATCATTGAACATTCAGAGATGATAGTACTCACTACATACCTTTTCGTTCGAAGGAAATTAAAAAATCATTAGTTGATCGACTAAGTCGTTCTACATTTCTTTTATCATTTGTTAATTAAATTTCTCTTTATAATAAAAAGAGTTTCTATCTCAGCCTTGCCAAATCGATAAAAGAGGATTTTCTTTTCTATTCAATTTTTTGTTTTGTGCGTGGATGGATTTTAATCCTTTTTATTGAATTTTAACCGTTTTTTTATTACTTTTATTGTACGTGGATTGAAAGACGATCGCATATACAATTGTTTCAACGAAAAAAAAATAAACTACAAACTATCTCTCTTCCTCTCTCTTTCTCTCTATTTCGTTGATAATCTTTCACTACTGTTGTGGTAATCCGATGGTATTATTGAATCCAGTTTCGTTACAAATATAGATCCAATTACATCAAGAGCATATAATAACGTGTTCAGATATAGATTTATTGTCTTACGCAAATGTACGTATATATATATATATATATATATATATATATATACGATTGAAATCGAAGAGTGTAACGTAGAACTAACAGGCTTTTATTCGAAATCGGCAAAATATAGGTTTATTACTGTGTGTATCAATCGTTGTATCTATGCAGAAAACATCAGTATGTGTATACTTCAAGATACAGAATCTATCTTGTTTTGCAAATATCTTCAAATGTCTTCAGGATGACTTTAGTATACATCATGTTTCGTTTTTCTATTATGTTCCCTCAGTTATTAGTTTTAATACTGTAAGTCAGAGATTGAGTAAAAAATAAGTGCTTTTTGAATTCACACCTTGAGAAGAGCTATTCAGAAATAAAATAAAAAAAGGTAACAATAATAAACTGTACAAATTTTGTAAATAATAGCAGAAAAAAACATTGGATTAAGATTAAAGGTTCATTAAATGAAATCGGCTAAACTTTGATGAAATCTAAGTACTTAAAAATTGCTTCTAATGATGTGTCAAATACATACTTTTCCTTGATTAATCACAAAAAATACCTACTTTTTCTTGATCAAATACAATATTTGATCAAGAAAAAGTAATATTTTTTAGACAATATATTACTTATTTGTTTCGAGAGAAGAAGAAAAAAAAGAGTAACCCATATAAATTATCCCGAAGCTAGATCCCATCTCGTCAAAGAAATAGACGTGCAATAAATAAAATTTTAAGCTGATTTTTAAGAAATTATGATATCTCTTATCATGATCGATGTGCGATTATAATATGTCGAACGTATAATATTGTTATAAGAGTAGATAAAAACATTAGTAATTAAAATGAGAGCTATTTTTTAAAATAGACAGAGTAAAATACTTGTATAGAAACGTTTTGTTACATTTCTAGCTTGGAAAAACCGTCAAACATTCAGTTTTTTTCCGTCATTTCTGAGAAAGTGAATGAACTAGATTTATTTACGTATTTCATAAAATGTCAATGATTTTTCATTTTGAAGAACAGAAACATAACAAGAGTATTAATTCCCAAAGATAAATATTTTCAAACCATAATAATGCTGTGTATAATATAACCATTTAAAATAAAAACCTCGAATATAATGTAAATGCAGTTCTTCGCAAGGTATTTTGATTTTGTAATCAACTAATTTCTGTTTTCTTTGCTGGAAATAGTCAATAATAAGTTGTTAGGAGTTTTTTTATCGCACAATCTAATATGGAAATTTCATACTTCTAATGTACCAAAAAGTGTAGACAGATGTTAGGTGCAATGCACCGTACATTTAACAGCGCACGATCCTCTCTATGTCTTCACATCGTTGAAACGTGCATAATGCCAGTCATGGACTATTGTTCTGTTGTTTATGATACTACTGCAAAAATGCATTTACACCCACTAGTTTCTGTTCAAAAAGTGGCAGCCAGAATAATCTGTAATGACTATGAAACGAGCAGTTCATTATTGATGAACAAATTAAGTTTTCCTGATTTAACTGAAAGACGAAAATATTTTTGTTTGTTACATTTTCATAAAATTATGATAATCAAAAGCGCTCTATCAAGATTTAACATGATCACACCTTTAACTAACAGAACGTTCGATAGGCTGAATAATTGATGCCAATGGACTATCCCTAAGACAAGCTTAGAAGCAACTAAACACTCTTTTCTTCCCCGTACATGTACGGAGTGGAACCTCTTGCCACGATCTATCATATCCCAATTTCACTGCAATAAATCTTGGTGCATTTTTCTCTCATTTCTTATTTATAAAAACATTTCTTTATATACCAAACGATAGACAATTTAATTCTCTACAAGATTGTAAATTTATTTTTAAGCTTTATCTTTAATGCTTGGTACAATAACTCTAACAAGAAAACCTCCACAATTTTTAACTGTACAACGCAGTTTTAAAGTGCAGACTGTTCTCTTTTTGTAATTGTTTATAATGAGTACAAAAAATTCGAAATAATTTTATTATCGTCAAATGTTGAAGAATTTTATGCTTTACAAAAGAGTTTACTTGAAGTTAATTTATTTCAATTGCCCGCGGCTTTAATACATAAACTTCCAAATCCACCGAAGTTTCTAGCACTAAAAAAACGTTTTGACTATTCCAGTATAAAATCCAAAGTTCAAGTCATTAGTTTATATATAGGACCAAAAAATGCAGAATTTCTCGCTCTATTAGACTGTGTAACTAATAAATAAACCCGCTACTTTTTTTACCTGAAAACCTAGAAAATACTGGATGACCGAACCGGCTAAGATGACCGAAAAATAGGAGAAAATGGCCTTTTTCACAGACACTGTTACGCTCCAATTTCATCGAAAAAATCATTATTTCTCATTAAAAAAAATCATCATATTGTAGATAATTTCTTGCTGAATTTTTTGGTATACCTTGTTTTGTTGAATAAGTGATTGTTAGTGGGGTTTTGCGCAAAAAATTGATTTTTTGAAGGTGCAGTTAAAAAAGTTTGGAGCTTTTCTTGTTAGAGTTGCTGTGTCAAACATCAAAGATGAATCTTAAAAATAAATATACAATCTTGTAGAGAATTAAATTTTCTATCGTTTGGTATATAAAGAAATGTTTTTATAAATAGGAAATGAGAGAAAAATGCAGCAAGACTTAGTGCAATTTATTCTGGGACAACCGTTATAAACTTAATCTTTCGTTCGATAGAAACTTTCGTTGTTTCTATCGATAATTTGAACGTTAATCAATAAAATGTGTCTGACTTACATTAGCCTTTCTACTCTTTGAGAATAGATCGTTTCCATATTAATGAGATAAAAAACTTGCCATAGAGATTTCATTTCAGAATATTGTCGATATAATACTTTGCTATAGGTTATCAGTCATGTCAGATCTAATGAAGATGTGCAGGGACATGTGCGGCGATGCGTGCGTTAATGCAATAAATGTGTAAAAATGCCGTTTTTTATGCTATAGGGGGTTCTGGAAAACTCACACAAAACATATGAAAAACCTATTCTATCGATACAAAAATTATGCCATTAGCCAGTAGACACTTTGGGCTATCCATCCATGTACTTTTCCCAAAATCGATATTTTTGACGAAAATCAGTATTTCTGACCTAGGGGGCAGCCTTAACATTTCTTCCTTTATCCCAGATATTTTTGATCTGATGCATCAAATAACCTCCTAAATGTGAATCCATTTAGTGTTTTATTCAAAATCTTAAAAAAACATACTAATTTTCAAAAATTTAAAAACTTTTAGTATCTCAGACATTCCAATGCTGCTGACTGTGTTCAAAACTTCAAACCTTTACATGCTTCTTGAATAACTTTTGCATCATTGCTAAAATTAGGTTTTGCATCACTTGCATCATCAAATGAACCAACTGCACCTTTCGGAGCGTATCGAATATTTTCTTTTCGAAGTCCAGCAACCAAACATTTGACCTCAGGGACTTTTTCACCTTCCTCTGTAACAGAACAAAACAATGCAAATTACTCATTGAATTAAGGGTTGATATTATTTTTTCTCATATACAACTATTCATTAGAAATAGATTGGACTTTCAGAATAGATGCTATTCTAACAGAAACTACACCATAATACATGATACATACGTGCTAAACATAGTCTGTTGCAAAGGAGTTTTTTTCCTGTCTTGTCATTGACAATAAAATTTATGTGTCTTCCAGCATGTGCTGTGTTAAATGGTCCCGCAGCACTTGTTGATGGCGTATAACTTCCTTTTACAGCTAATTTAATACCACATTGTTTTGCAATAGTATCAACCTTTTTTAATTGTGGAGCAAAATCTTTGTTAATCCAAATTGTATCACCAACACAACTGCTACATTTTGCTTTTACAATTGGACATTTTACTTTAAAAACGATAAATAGTCAGCAAAGCAAGTTTTATAAAGAAAAGAATATCATTAATTTACCTGGTTTTTCCTTTTTAGCTGGCTTTGCTTTAGATGTATCCGTTTTTGTTGGATCTTTTTTAAATAACATACATTGTGTCAAACCACAGATTGTAAATAAAACTAACAAAATTACAAGTCGTGTCATTATAATTTTCAATACTATTTGAATATTCTTTTTGAAACTACAAACACTTTCTATCACCTACTTGAGCTATAATGATAGTACACACTGCTTGACCATGAAAAAAAAATTTAAGATAAGGAAGATAGGAAAAAATTGATACTCACTTAAGAAAAAGCGAAAATTTTTATCTGTTTGTAATGAATATGGGTATTAGGAATTACAAACAAAAGGCTGGATTCATGAATGATTCTAAGTAAAGTGCCTGGAAATTTTTAAATGAATAGATAGAAAAACCTTGAATTGTTTTAAAAGAAAATTTCTCTATTTAGCGATATTGACCAGATATTTAGAAATTTTCTGTCCTCTCTTTATTTATTATTATATAAAACATGCATCTTACTGAAAATTGAATATTATTGCACAATTCTTGTGTGTGGTTTCACAACATATACTGAGTTCTTAGATTCAGTGCAAAGATTAGCATCTCATATTATTATTCGTACTTTGACTATACGTATTATAACACAGCCATAGTTAAATATTCTATCTGTTCTTGCTATTAGATGTTGCCATTTTTGGTTTGTAAGTTATAGTATCTCATCGTTAACAATCTCTCTCTACTATCTACTAAAATCTGTTAGCCTCATCAAACCACTAACAAATGGATACCCAGGTCGTGGGGAATATCATTCACACTCATTAACAGTTAAGTAGGCTGTTAGTACAAGCAGAATTATTGCTGCTGTATTATAAGAAGAAATTGCATTGTTCGTTCTTTCTTTCCACATTGTATTTTCTGTTTCGAGACGATCGCTCTTTCTCGATTATTCCTGGTCAACGAGATTTGGGAGAAACATAGATGGAGGACCTGAAATTATTTTTTCAGTATTTGCTTATAATCAGTATATATTTTATAGTCAGTATTATTGAATAACAAGTCAGTCGATGGTTGTCCCTAAGGTTATGGTGATCATTTTATGTGAAAAAATCCAAACACCGTCTAAATGTCTAGCATTATCTCTTTTATATATGTACTTTGATATGTTTTGAAACTCTTGTACGAATCGCAGATTCTCTCTTAGAGCGAACTACTAACCATTACAGAAGAATTAGACTAATTCCATTTGAATTATATAGTCATCGATTAATATCTTAATTTCTGTTCAGAGCTTTTTGGGTTTTTGGGATCTATTTATTGTGTGACTTAATCTGCGGTGCATAAGTAATGAGATAAATGTCCGCGCCTACTGTGAAGTGAGATTTCATCACCTATATCTTATTAATGCTTTTTTAGATAGACCGAAGTGCGCTCTTTCGAATAGCATATCGCTTGCCTTGCGATAATTAAAAATAAAAATGACACAGAAAGAGCACGAAGAGTTAGCAAAACGCATAGTAACATTCTTTTGAAGCCTAATATTCAGTTGGTAATGGATGACGAAAAGTACTTCACACTGATCGGTGATATTGCTTCTAATCGATCCTACTACATCTCTGACCCTTCGTCTATACCATCCGACATCAAATTCAAACGTCGAATGAAGTTCGAGTCAAAATTGTTGGTCTGGATGGCCGTCTCCCCAAAAGGAATGAGTCGCGTGTACGTTCACCGAAGCAAGGCCGTGGTTCGTACAGAAACGTACTTGAATGAATGTATTCGAAAGTGGCTGATCCCCTTTATCAATTGTACAACGGGCATAAAATCCGCCCAACGTGCCTCAGGCGAGACCAATTGAAACGATTTGGTCTCTGTTGAAACAGAAAGTGTATGAGAACAATTGGGAGGCCCAAAATATTGACCAGTTGGCCAAAAGAATTCTTTTAAAGGCGAAAGAACTGGACCAAAACATTGTGACACGTATGCTTTTGTCAGTTAGACAGAAGCGTTTAAAAATGTATAGGGATGGCATGTACAGTATTTGTTGAGCGTGTTCTAGAAATAGTTTTTCTTGCTCTATCAAATAAAATAAAAACTAAATCGGTTGGATGAAATCTCACTTCACAGTAGGCACGGACATTTGTCTCATTACTTATGCACCGTAGGTTAGTCGACTCTCTGATTATTCGCGAAGTGTAGTTGAAATATCATAGAATGAATTGTGCATATGTTTCTTGATAGTGCATGTGACAGAGCATCACTTGCGCTATCGAATGCACTATAATTTATTCTGTTTACGATGGGATGGGGATTATTACTCAATGAATAGTTATGAAATACACTTGTAAAAAGTATTTTGCGTTTTTCTCAAAATGAGATTTTTTACTTTTACGTTTTCGTGCATCCCAGATTTCTCCGCCATTTTGAAAGCTAGAAA